CATCGAAGGCCAAATCACCCGTTTCAGCGGACATGCTGGCAACGTGCACTTCCTCCACAGTTTCGACTTCAAGCAGCTTGACTATCTGGTCGATGCAACTGACGCAGTCTCCGTCATGCTGGACAACGCTGAGAGGCCCATCGAAGGCACCAAAGTGATGTTTTGCCCCATGTTTTTACTGCCGCAAAATTATAGGTTCGGGGATTACGACAAACGCACCCGTGTCCATGGAGTGTTCCAGGTGGAGACAGAGCTGGAGGTAGACGACCAGATGGTTTATGAGAGGATTGGGGTTGGGTACATCCTCCTCAAGCTGGGTGTGACCTGGCAGGATGTGGTCGACGGCATAGGGATGGAACGGACGTCTGTTCTTTTGGGTTGAGCAGCTAATATTCCTAGAATGCTTCAATCATTTCGAATCTTGTAGATATTCAAGGAAAGGTTCAATCCAGAGAGAGCGCAAAGTGCATGGTGTGTCTTGCTAGAAACCCTGCTAGAAACATTCACGCTAGCTCCCTTCTCTAGTGCATCCCTTTTTGTTAGTAGAGATCTTCATAAGACAATGGCAATGTTCGCTTTATCCTTCTATAGATCCCCCACAGCCCCTTGTCGTCTCGGTGTAAACAACGGCAAGGAAGAACACAAGACTCGGTGGGACAGATTGTTGCAGGAAACAAGCAAGTAAAAAAGCGGAAGACTGGAGTGATTCGAACACTGGAGGTATCAAAAGGGTCTGCGAGAGTGTCCCACCACTTATCAAGAACAGCCCGTACCCATAGGTTCTCAGATCGAACCGCTTTATAAAGCTGAAGATCTCCCGATTTGATTTTGCGTGGGTTTGCCTGCGACTTAAAACAGATGAAGTGAGGGTATCTAGAAACTGCCTGAGCAGCTGTCCGGCAGTCATTAGCTATCCATCGTAATTGCTATTTTTATCTATTCCCACTTTCCGGCCCGTGTTACATGTGAGCGTGGCCTGGGGAAATGCATGCTTACTTCTGCAGGAAGGTGAGCAGCGCTGGGCCTGCCTTTCCTGTTTGTGCATCCTGTACCCATCTGGCCAACCATGGCACTGAGTTGGGAATAGCATCATGATCTCCAAGTTTACCCAGTGCGTTCGTAGACTGATTATGGAAGGAATTCCCTGGAAGATCTCATGGAAAGGTCGATCCATCTCTTCCATCTCTTGGGTGCCTTTAAGTAGGGATACCAGAGGCATGCTGATGCCACGTTCCAAGGGTGAGGACACTTGCCTAATTACCACAAAAAAAAGCCTCTTGAGATGAAATTGATATGCTCTTCCGATAGAAAGTGCGCTGAAGATCGTGCCCCTAGTGCCTCCAGCCCTCGCTCCTTCTCTTGCCTTCCCAGTGCACCTGCCTCAGGCTCTGCGTCTTCGTCCGTCGTCTCGCACATCCGTCACTGTCTCAGAGGATAAAAATCTTTCTTCCCTTCTAACTTTTCTTCTTCGCAGTTTGCCGCCTGGAGGCGCACCTTGTTGACTGCCGTATGCAGAGGATAAAAATACCCACCCCCCATCCCAGATCTCCTTACTCTTTCTCTCCTCCACCACACTTCAACAACTTTCACTTTCACATCTTATCACAACAACAACAACAAGGGGTCTTCAGCCTTTGGTGGTATACCACTTTGGCACCCTTCTTTTATCACATCTTTTATCTTGAAGCCTGGAAGGAAAGCAATGTTCAAAGTCTTTTGGATTATTGTTCTAAAGCTGTGGGTATTTGTTATTTTCTATGTTCTTCTCAGCTGTCCGCCCCCCCCCTAAATTTGACCAGCAGTCTTGCTAGCTGGCTTTGCTTCTTTGATTCCTTCCCTCGCTCCTGCTGTCAAGATGGGTTGTCCCAGTAGCCAAAATCCCTTCACAGTTTCCACCACCCAAGCCCAACTTCCCTTGCTTCCTTTGTTCCAGCCATTGCAAACGTTTACCGGTCGTCACGTGCCCAGCACCGCTCCTTCCCCCGCTGCTCTTTTTCTTTCGGCTGGTCTAGCGCCTTCGATCTAGAAGTTCAGAGCGAGACGAGGCGGTCGAAGGCCGTCTGATCACGTGGAGCTCGTTGTCCTCCCCTCGCACAAAACAAACCAAACTTTCCTGCCTCTTCCGCTCCCTTCACATTCCAGCCAAGTCAGACCACTATACCTATGTGGGAAACCTCCCGGTACTGCCTCGAAGCACGAGAAGAGCATTTTCGGCGAGGCTTTGTCATGATCATCCCCCGATCTAACTCCTACAAGGGCTTTCTTCTGGACGTATGAAACGTCTGCTGTGGCCCAAACACCGCGAAGAAGTGCAGTGCGCTCAGTCTCGGGGTAAGTCTCACCAGCCTCAGCATTCGCAACACCATTACAATGCTCTGCTACAAGGCAGCCCAAATGAAGATTACTACTCGGGCTTCTGCCCCGTCGGCAACATTCTGGGCTTCTGGCAAGTGCCAGGCCCGTCGGCTTACTTTTGCTTCATTTTCCAGCCCATACTCTTTCGAGTGATCCTTTGCTGACTTTCGAAATTGCCCAGGCTCTCGAATGCCCTATTTCACGGCGATGAGGCGGTAATCAAAAACCTCTGCGCTATTGCCTTCCTCTTCTGAGAACAATACCAGAAGGTCTGTTTCTGGCATGGCCGTTTGAATGGACGGGGAGAGCCAGCCTGAGGAAGGCTCATCAAAGGTTCTCCACCCCCTGGCCTCATCAATGAAAATGGAGGTCATTGGGCCCTTCATGGAGTCTTTTGACTTCAACAAGGTATGTCTCGTATCCAGTTCTCTGCCTTGCGTCGGGGATTTGTTTGTCTCTTGGCTATTGTGTCACCTCGAGTCTAGAGTGTTCCCTTTCTCTGGATCTTGTCCTTGTGTCAAGTTTCTTCTTTGACAACTCGAAGCTGTTCAGAAATGCTGCTCCATTGTCTCTTGAACAATGACTAATTTCGTCTTCCGCAGTTTGAACGAGGGAGCGCCGCCTCCGAAAACCGCGCTCTACTGCCGGGGCCCGGGCGAACAACTCCCCGTTCCAATGTCCGGCCCGGGCCTCCCGGCCTTTTCCAACTGCTCACCAAACAATTTGCGGTCAGCCTTTGAGTTGTTTACCGTTCGCCTCTTTGGAAGGCTCTTCCAGTACTTCCCCTACAGGCTTTACGGGGAACGGCTTGGGCTGGTTCCACGATTACGTTCCGGGGCCGCCGGCCGGCTCAGACATGCTCACGCCAATTTACGGCGGTGGCCTTCCTCTCTGCTCAGACTACTCAGGAGGCCGGCCGCCGTCTAGATTCGAAAACTTCTTTCAGTTGTTTGGAGCAATTTGAGCCCTTTCTCAAATTTTGGTTCAAATTTGATGTCCAAATTTTGATGGCCGGATCTGCCGTCTTTCGAGATTACTTATGGGAGAGCGGGCGGGATGCCGAGTTTTCCAATGGGTATGGTCGTATGTACTTCTCCTTGCACACGCTGCTGTATTGGATGCTTTACTGGCGCCCCGGCCGGGGGCCAGTCTCAATTTTTCGGCTTGTAAGTGCCAACTCCCCTCAACCTCGAGAGACGAGAGATGCTGACTTGGCTTTATCGGCAGTTTGGATTATTTAGACAAAAGCCTTTTGTCAATTTTAAGGCCGGCGGTCGGTGAATCCGTGCCCTTGATAGCATCCCGGCCGCCGGACCTGTTCCAAACTTGCCGTTGGTCAGTGCCCCCCTTCGCTCAACATCTCAGTGGCAGACGCTAATTCTGGTAACTTCACAGGAAAATGTGAACTCTGAAAAGTTCAAAAGTATTGTTCTGGCTGCCAATATTTGCGGCAGTTGGGATCCCCCCCAAAGCAAGACGACACGAGCTATTCATGATTCATTGCGGCGGGGGGGCCCAACTGCCAGAACAAGTCTTTTCCGGTGGCGGTCTCCGCCGATTCGAGCTCCTTTCCCATGTCTTCAGAGCCTGACTGGGTCTACAGCTCTGGGATCTTATAGCCTCACACATGATTCTCGAGACCTGCTTTGACGAACACGAGATGGAGGAGGGACTTTGCATCTCCATGACCTCCAACCTGGGGCATCAAACGATTTGGTCCGCGATCCTGACCACAGCTTATTGCAAGTAAGGAATTCACAACTCCTTTGCCTCCAATGTTTCCGGCGCGCCACTGTTCTTCCAATCCTCTCCTTATCGCAGAGAGCTATCCGAGATTGCAAGATTATTGTGTCTGGTAAGCGTTCTTTTCGCCTGTTGATTGTGGCGTGGCGTTGCTAACCAGCCGCAGGGAAGGCCTCGAAAGACTTCCCATTGCCAATGACGATCCAGAAATTGATGTCTCTGGGGTCTTGCGCCAACACTTGATTATCCTCGATCTGGCCTACTCACTAGTTCTGCGACCCTTCGAATCAAGATCACGGTGTTTGGTAAGTTGTAGGCAACCTTTGCTCGATGGTGGCTAGTCTGACTAACCAGCTTTTGCCCAGGACCTCGCTTGCGACATGTCGAATACGTCGTCGAGCTCAATCGGGTTCGTTCATACAATGAGCAATTCCGATGGCCAGGCCTAGCCTAAAAGCGAAGACACCTGTGTTTCTTCTACAATGTGTCCTCTTACCAAGTGGGCAGTGAAACCTCTTCAACATATCTTGTGGTTTAAGCGAGTTGTCGAAGGAATCAGCATGCAGGGGCAAGGCAGGAGAGAGACTTATTGACTGTGGAATGACTCTGACGGAGACATTTGTGCCCTCGGGCGGTAACCTGCTATACGAAAGTATGAAAAGAGTTAGAAGGAAAAGAGAACAGAGACACTTGGCTATGTATTGGGGGACTTGTGGCAAAGGCAGGATGGATGGATGGTTCTTATTCAGAAGCACTCAAAGCACATGATATTTCATTCACACCAAAACAAAGTTATATTGCCATTCCATGTCTTCGAAAGGAGCGAGTGAAGAGGAGGTTTGTCTTGACTCTTGAGCAGTCGCATGTCTCCCTCCGCCGCTACGGTGCTACCTTCTGCCCCTTTACTTCCTCTCCATTACCTGAACCCACATATCGCTGATGAAGAACAGACCCATCGCATTGTACGCCTTCCAAGGACGCGCCGGATCCATTGGAGCCAGCTCAAAGTTGCGAAATAGCTGTGTCGCGAAGTCAATCAAGCGCCCGTCAATCCACTCGAGTAGACTCGCCTCAAATATCGTCTTTGCAAGCTCAATTTGAGCCACAGGTTTGCCCAGGCACAGGAACTTCCCGTACCCAAACACCAGATCGTTGACGCTCTTCATAGCAGCCAGCTTCTCCTCATCCTCTTCAAACCATCTCTCCGGCCGGAACGTCTTCGTGTCCTCCCCGTACGTCTCCTTGCTGTGGTGCATCGCATACGCAGAGTACCCGACACAGGCTCCGCCCGGCAGGTACACGCTCTCCCCTCCTACATTGACCGTATCACCCCCAGCCGGCACGTCTCTCCCAAAGATATTCACCACCGGCGTCTTCACCCTCAGCGCCTCTCGAATCACAGCCTGCAGATACGGCAACCGCCTCGTCTGCTCCAACGAAACCAGCCCCTCCCCCTTCGCCGGCGCGATCCCATCCCTTACCGCATCGTCAATCTCCCGCTGCAACTTCGCATACACCCTCGCATTCGTCATAATCAACAACAACGTCCCGCGGATCGCCGCCGCCGTCGTATCCGACCCGGCAATAATCTGCTCCAACGCCTCGCTCCTCAACTCGTCCCCGCTCAGCCCGTGCCGGATAAACGACGCCAGCATGTCCGACCGCTTATCCGTCTCCCGCGCCGCGCGCGCGTCCACGTCGCGGTAGCACGCCGCGATCATGCGCCCGAAGCCGTTGTCGTCTGTGGGCGAGGGCGCAAGGAAGCGGCCGATTACGGGGGCTTGCGCGAGCCAGCTGAGCCCGAAGGCGAGGGCGAAGCTGGCGGCGGTGAGGCCCTGCTCGGCGGACTGGAGGTAGCCGTCGACGTCGGCGTCGGCGGTGAGCATGCCGAAGGTCTTGCCGAGGCCGACGCCTGAGATGACGTCGAGGGTGAAGTATTGTACTTTCTGGGCGAGGTCCATGGGGACGATGCGGGATTCGGTGGAGAGGTACTTCGTGCGGATGAGGGTGAGCAGGTCGTTGAGGCGGGCGTCGATGGTGGGTTCGAGGTCGAGGTTCTCGCGGCCGGAGTACTGTGTTTTGTCAGTGGTTGAAGCTGAGAGGGGGAAAGGGGGGAAGGGGTGTACGCCTGGAGCCATTTGCTTCCTGCGAGCATCGTGCTTCGCGTTGTCTGTCTGCGTGAAGATGTTGTCGCGGCGGTATTCTACGCGGCAGGCGTGGTAGTACCAGTCGGTGCGCTTGTAGGCTGGGTTCTTGTTGACGTGCGTCCAGAGGTCGGGGGAGGATGTGACGAGGATGCCTGGGGCGATGCGGACGATTGGGCCTGACGCCGGTAAGTAAGTAGATATCAAGATGGTGTCATTGACTTCAGCGAACCGTATTTCTCGCTCAGCTCAGCATACCACTCATGAACCCTCGGGCCCATGATGTGCTTGCTATGAGGAGAGCTACTGAGACCTGTCCACCATGGCCCCGGGATGTGCCTGAACTTGAAGTATGTGACCAATCGGTCGATGATGAAGTAGAGGCAGATCACTCCGCCATGAACTGGCAGGGTCGCCCAGCTGGAAACCGTGCTAAGGAGGCCCATCTTGTACAATGACGATCAGAAGGGAAAGCGTTCGCTAGGCGCAGCGTAGGTAGGATATGGCGCCCTCGCACTTCTTAAATATCCATGACTACGCTCCCCGCATTGCTGCAGATACTGAGCGATGGATATGCGGCCAGGGGTTCGCGAAGTCGCCCACCAATCAAGACTGGAGCAATCATCAGCAGCCAGCTTCGGCATGCTCCCCTTTGGCGGGCCGGATCCTACGTTGACGGATATGCAGGTGATGCATTAGTCCCAACCGTTTCTTAGGCGCTTCCAATCAGGCACGACCATGAGGACAGGGTTTAGATCCTTCAGGACACCCGCCTTCTCGGGTGCGAAGGTGTTTGGTGTTCACGATCTGCGATGGCGATATCGAGAAGAGGAGGAAGGAGAAGACGACAGCAAATGGTTCATCTAGGTAGATCTTCGGTAAACCAGACTGTTGCCAAGCCTGGCCACAAGCCACTCCACAATGTTTTAGGCATCGGAGCCCAATACTGTCTGCGGCAAGGGAGACCACATCTCTGCTGGCTTGCTAAAGTCCAAGCAAAGAGGAAATCATATCCCGCTCGATTCGATCCCAACAAGCACACCTTTCCGAGTAATGATGCCGCCTTTCAGTGCCGCCAGCAGCCAGAAGCTTATCATGTTAGACTTCAGCATTGGCCGACATGGACTGTTCAGCGTTTTAGCGTCCGTCTTGAGCCATCAATGTTCTGCAACAGTACCTTTATTGTCTTTAAGACCGCAGCTGCTCTGGTAGACGGCATCAGTACTTCTACAAGTATCCCGTCTCGACCTCGGGTCGGTACGTACTTCTAACAGGAACGGCAGCAAGACGAGACTGATCCCATCACCACCCACCGCCTACGCGCTTCTTCGTCCAAGAAGCCTGCCCAAGGCCTGGAGACAAGTCAGGCCTCCAAGTCCGCTTGTCCCAAAGAGGTAAGAGACAACTGTGGGATCAAAATACTGCAGATTGATCCTGATTTTCTAGTGGCTGCCCCGGTCAAGAGAAGACCAGCTCGATGTACGTACTCAGGACCAACCTTCAAGGTTGCCCCTGATTGGCCGAGTCGGCATCACCACCAACTCACCTTCGCATTCACCACCTCCCGAGGCGGTCGTACACGTGACTGACTGCCCTGACAACGACCAAACAGGAAATCGCGACTTCACCTCTGCTCGATCTGATCTCGGTGCCTCCAATCAGCCAGAAGGCCACCCTCAGTCTGATCTTTTTAAAAGCCCTCCCTCTCTCTTCTTCCCTCCCAACTTCTTCCCCCCCACAACCACACATCACAAAATTGCTTCGCAAACCATCACAACCACCTCTACCCTCCATCTCCTACCTCTCTCTTCCTCCTCTACCTTTCTCCCCCCTCCATCACGTCTTCGTCACCGTCAAGATGAAGTTAACCTCCACCCTCGCCTCCCTCGTCCTCGCCTTCGCGGCTGGCACCACCTCCGCTGCCCCCTTCCCCGGCGGCAACATTGAGCTCCTCGACGTCTCCAAGCCTCAGGGCGGCAATGTTGAAGTCATGGACCTGTCCAAGCCCCAGGGTGGTAACGTTGAGGTCATGGATGTCTCCAACCCCCAAGGCGGCAACATCGAGGTCCTCGGCGCCTTCGACGGTGGCTTCGCCAAGGTCTGCCGCGACATCATGCTCACCAACCGCATCGTCAACGGCAAGCCTGTCTACTCAGTTCGCGCCATCTGCCCCGACTGGATGGACCAGAACTTCAAGACTGAGCTGCAGCTCAACCGCTGCCTCATGAACGACTTTGGCCACCTCAAGTGGGCCAACCTGTGAGTACACTCCATCCCCCTTCTCGCCTTTTGCAACATTGCTGACTTTGATTCTTCTGCAGTGGCCACTTCGACGACTCTTGCTACGACTGCAAGCTCCTGTCTGCCACTGACGATGTCAAGATGGCCTGCACCTGCGCTGTCGGCGCCAAGGGCACCATTGGCACCACCATTGCTCTCAGTATGTCTTCTCCCACTCTCGCGCTGAACTTCACGAACATGTGCTGACTTTTCTTCTTGCAGACGAGGGCATCCGCAACCAGGGCGGCGCTATGTGGTGCGGCACCCAGATCGGCACTCGCGTCCCTGCCTAAATGTCACAACTTCACATCTTGGTTCTTTTTGGGCGGATTCACTTCTTTCTTGTAGGGATTGAGATTGGAATTGGGATTTGGGGGTGTGTACTACTTTGAGATTGGCTTTCTTCGGAATTTCGGGCATGTCGCAGCGTGGAGTTTGGGGAGGAAGGAGGATACCCTTAGAGCCTGGCTATCAAGGACCAAGCTTTCTACATTGGCTGAAAAGCGCATAGACTTCTGACAAGCAGACAAAAGACCTCTTTTTCTCTGCAAAATCCTGCCTTTCTTGATTCTATTGGTGATGTGTTGTTCTGTTGTGACGGCTTTGACTGTGGAGCAAGACCGTGCCTTCCCCCTGACTCCCTAAAGTAAGGTATTCCCTGAGGATGCAACAGCTTACCTCGCCTGCCACTATCAGCTCTTACTGGAAGGCAGAAGACTAATGGGTGTGGTATTTACTTGTCATGTGAAAGGCGATGTGATTCTGTGATGTGGTGAAGAAGGCCCCCAGCTGGGAGGTGCGAAAGGGGCTGGTACAAGGCCGTTCCTTGGAGACCGTCCCAGACCAGTCAATGTCAGCAAGTCCAGGAATATCAAGATATGAAGTTTCAAGCATGAATCAAGGTCATTATGAGGAGAGGTGTGAGATGTGGTGGGCTTTTGGGGACACAGTCCGGCAAGCAACAGTGCTGTCTAGACGGACACTATGGTTTGGATGCTGTGGGATTGGCGAGGAGTTAGAACGTCTTGAAGTGCTTCAGAGACTGCCATGCTACACTAGGACGCCAAGGGCCCTGTCTGGAAAAGATCATGTGTTGCAACTTACCTTAGTGCCTGGCATGCTCATCGGCTTCGCCCCATAGGCCAGCCCAGTGCCAGATGCTGCTCTCCTGGCACCAGTGCTCTTCATTCCAGGGTCTTGAGGTCTTTGAGACTGCAGGTTGTTTTGCAATGGGCAAAATGGGCAATCAAATGATTGGCTTTGTGGCCTTCGCTTGTGGTCTTGCTCTTTCGAATTTTGGATCTGGGTCGCTTTGGTCTGGCCACCCCCTTCACCTCTTCAGTCACGTGCCTCACGCTGCAGAGATTTCTCCTCTACTGTTCGTTCCTTCCTAAGAATTGAGAGTAGGAGCGGTCTTGAAAAGTTTTCCGTCTCTCCCCTCCGTCAGGTATTCCACCTTCTCGCCACCTCAGCCCGAGGTCTCCCACCCTCCTCCTCCACTATCACCACCACTATCACCAACACTCACCTGTCCATTGCCCCTCTACCCCATCACCCCCTTCGCACTCGCCGGTCTGCTTATCATCTTCATTACTCTGCTCTAGTCCTTCATTGTCGAATTACTGCCTCTACTGCAACACTTCCCAAGACCCTGCAAAGCTGCCCATCTCCCAATCTTCTCAAAACTTGAGCTCAGATTCGAGCTCCAGTGCCAAGATCTAACAGCTTCACCCCCACTTCTTCTACTACCTCAAACCTCCATTGCTTCGAGTCTCGCAGTAGGGAAAAATGATCTACTGGTATGGCACATCGTCTTGGGGATGGGCGGCCCTTCTTCCCATCATCTTGAGTCTCTTGGCAGCGCTGGCTGCTGCAGGTCAGTCAATGCCCAGTTCCTTCGATTTTTCAATGATGAATCTGACATTTTACAGGGCACCCTGGAACCAAAATTTGGCACGGGAAAATTTGTGCGGCGATTATTATGGAGGGGACCGATTGCACAAGGCACTGACCGGTTCGCGGGATCATACCGATCTTCGCACCGGGCCCCGTTCTATCAGCTTCAGCACGCGTGGACATCCCAGCAAAGAGTAGCACGCACGTTCGCTCTCAGGCAGACTGCTTTGACATGGCAGCACAAAGACACTCCGATGTCTACTTGTTTGGTTTGTTCGCCCCTTGTCCCTGCCATTTCCTTTGTTGGTTTGGTGGCATCACCAGATCATGGTCCAAAAGCTCCAAAAGCTCCATGTTGCTACCGCAATTGCTTCATAAGTGCTTCGCTAATATTTTCATGCAACACAGATGACTTCATTCTCATCTCTTCCGCACCTCGGAGTACTGTCTGTTGGCGATGTCTGAAATTGCTCGAACCACCTGTTGTTCCCTTCAGATGTCACGGGCGAAGATGACCAGAGGACCTAAAGCTTCCATGACTCCAAGAGCTCTGTTGGCTCTGTCACCATCTCTACATGCTCTCGCTATCCTGTCCGAATCTTCTTTCCGGCAGCAAACACCTTCTGCAAGTCCAATATCGACAACCTCGACAAGATGCACCGAAGTCGGCGCTGCCTCGACGTTGACTTGAGGCTGCTGGCTCGTGCCAATAGCTCAGCCCCAGCAGCAGACATCTCCAGCTCAGTCTTTCTTCCACAAGGTTTGTCCTCAGAATGAGACTCGTTGTGCTGTTGGCAATTGACGACAGACGTCGTCTCGCTTGCAGCTTAGTTGGTTCGATTCGTCCCATGCTCCAGAGCACCTTCGTCCGTCTGTTACAATTCGCCGAGAAGCCCTAACAGCTTCGCACCCGTTCGAAACTCGCACATCCTCGGGCCTCACTATTCTTCCAATGGCTTACACGACTTCTCTTCAACGGGGGTTCGAATACTCATGTCACGAAGGCGCGTTCGAGCGACGAAGCCGCCATGTGGTTCACAGAGGTTACAATGGGGGTTCGAATACTCATGTCAAGAAGAGTTCGGTGGACGGAGCCACCAAATGGTTCACGAGTCCATACTTCTACCCACGATACCATCAGATGGACACAGATCACCTCCACTCTCAAGAGGATCGCTTGGGCAACAAAGAAGAGGTCGAAAGGTGGATCAACTACTTGCACAACGGGGGTTCGAATACTCAAGACATCATTGGCTTCCGCCGAGGGGCGGCCCTGCCCGCCGACCTTCCAGGGCCTGAGTACCTGACCTTGTCTCAATTTGTTACGATGGCGATGTCGTCTGGTACTCGGGCCCAAAATGTGAGGAGAACCGAGACCCGCAGAAAGTTCCCAAGCGCACCAAAGGCGCCTACAGTGTTGTCATCTCGCCGACCTCGGAGTCTACGGACATGGGTGCCGGCGGTGTTTGGCAGGATGCTCCAGTATCCAGCATGAGCTCGGCTGCCCTGGACACTTTGCCGTCCATGGGAACTCCCGCCTTCTCGACGCCGGAACTGTGGAGACAAACCCTGAGCCCATCCAAGGTAATGCTACAAGGCTCCGGATGCTGACATGAGCATGGGAGATTACGACGCCATGGCTCTCCAGGAGACCGCGGCCTCCCAGGATACTTAGAGTATCCCGTTCAAGCTGACGATGGCATGAACAACTTGCACTATCCACAGGGCCTGGCTAACTGACAGGCACTGCACTACATCGCGAAGCGCAGCTGTCAGAGCCGCGATTGGAGACATCGTCAAAGCCTTCGACTTTGTTGTCAAAGCATAGACATCGTCCCCATCTTCCTGGGGCTTGGATTCCATCGAATCTAGGCGTCCGAGCCAATGTGACTGAGAAGAGTCCCCAGGACAATGTGGAGCTGAACGACTTCTCCCAGCAGACGTTCGAGCCAGATTCCTGCAGAGCCTCAGAGCCTGCAATCCAACTCCACCTTAATGTCAAAGATATGCACACCCGGTTGGATGATCATTGTGACTATACAAACAGTGAGTTGTAATGCTTTTCAGTCCTCGGGATTTATCACTGACATACTATGCGAGGAGTAAGAGGAATTATGCATGGCCTCACCATCACGCTGCGGCGGCACGAACGCTCATGCTGTTCTTGATGAGCCATGCCGTTGCTATTCACCTCGTCACACTGACTGTGACACTTGGAAGGCCAAGGTAGGTGTCCGGGTCACCCCTCTGCGCCATCGTTGACAAGCGGCGGCGCGCGCGTCTTGCATAGCGAAACTGATTCGTTCCAACAGTTGTTCTGTCGAGTCGCCGCTGCGAGCTACCACCCCGGAGGTTTGGCTTTGTCTTCTTCTTTTAGTTTATTCACATTCTAAACCCAGACAGGCACTTCGCGCAAGAAGTCACTTCACAGGCACCTCAGCTACATTTGCGGGGGCCCGGGGTCTGGCAGAGCCATCAAGATTCGCGATGGTACTCGGCCACGCCCAGGGTCGTACATGAGAACTGGGTAAGTCTGTCTGCGCGTGACGGCTTGCACCAACCCTCCTCCTGACCAGCCCAGAGACCTGGCAAATGGCTTATTGAGGTAGGAGTCCCCGGGCGGGCCCGGTGGACTCCGACTCAAACAAGCTTTCTTCACTTCAAACAATATGGCGCCAGTCCAAGACATCCATTTTAACGGCAACGACCTGGTCGATTCTCTCTACCAACTTAAGGTCGATGACGGCGAGCCGAGACTTCGTCGTGCGGCGACAATGGAAAAGATCAATGACAACGGTCTTGCCAACGGCAAGACCATGGGATACAGTGTTCGGCGTGGCTTTTCTTCACTTTAAACAACATGTCTCACGAATTCGTCAGTTTCAATTGTTCCGCGCGGTCTATCACTCGCATCCATAGCTACCATTTCCGAGCCTTCCTCTGTTTCAGATCCTGGACTCCCCAGCGCTGACATGCAATTCAAACAGGCTCTTCAGCACGCAGGACTTATAAGTGGGCTGGGACCCGCGTCACCCCTTTCGTCTCATGTTTCTTTGTGGCCGGCCCACGTTTGGGCAGGCAAAGATGTGTTTTCTTCTCTCCAAACAACACCATGGGAAAGAAGGTAAGGAAGACCATTCGTTTATCCCACCGACGTCTTATTCTGCCAAACCGTCTGCGACACTGCAGGCCTCGTATTACACATTTCTGACGCCGGTCTTAACACAGATTCCAAGCCTTCATTAGGCTGCTCAGCAGCGCATCAAGCTGACTGACAACACTGAGATCCGTAAGTTTCCTCTCAATCTTCTCGCATGGCCTTGACTGACTTTTATCCAGGCCAACCTATGCTCACCACGATCCTTGGTGACAGCGGCTTGACCGGTATGTTTCCAGC